TGGCTGGAAATGGACAAGGAAAAAAAAGTTTTAATAACCTAAGCAACCACTTTCAACAGGAGTTTTTAATTGAAAATATTGTTTAAATATACTAAGCAAAAGAAACTTGAGAAATGGAGGCTTGCCTTGAAAACTCGCCGATAATGACAAACAATGGTATAGTTGAGAAGCACATGACTCACGAACTTTAAAGCTTGAAGCTTATAGACTAGTTCTCATCAACACGTTTTAATGATTACTTTAGCTATTCTAATTAGAGAATAACGTAGCTCTGAACTTAGTAAACAGTAGAAACGCAAGCATCTCATACCTTCTAACATAATTTTCAATTTCTATTTCCTTTACACATAATTCCTTGCGAAGCTCAGACGTTTCATCGAAGTCTCCTTGCAAGCGACCAGCAACCGAAGTAAGCCTTTATACAAATCAAGTGCATGTTCTCATACGAATCGATAACACTTATACAAACCTGTTAATTTCCATGTCTTTAATCTTGATCTGTTCATCAAGAAACTTGCATTTTGTTGCCAGGTCGTGAGTGACCCTAAAACACGCTAAAGCAATTGAATCGATGGAAACCACACCAAAAAAGAACACTACTCATAGCGGAATTTGAAACGCACTGAAAAAAAGATGCCAATATAGCATTTTAAAAAAATCAGGACGAAAAAGAAGCACACTTATAATTATAAATATGTCACTATTCAGAAATTACAGTGAATTTAAGACAAAGCATTTTTCGAGTTGAGACTCTTCCTGGTACAACCTTTGACTATATTCTCACGAATTTAAACCATATTTCCTCTATCTAGAACAACTCACATTCTGTCTGAAATACTCGAGTCGCTGAAGTCAGAGAGAAAAGACAAAATAAGGTGAAATATGATGGCTGCTATAAGCAGTGATACGTTGATAATGAAAGCAATCCCTAGGTACGAACCGATCAACTTGCACGAATCTAAAACGCTATCCGTACAAAAAAAACAACCGGAATCTACCTGCATTATCCAGGTTCTCCAAAAAAGGTACAGACCTCATTACAGCTGCCAGTGATCTTAACATACTAGCAATAAACCCTGAAAAAAGGGCAGAAAAATTCATTCGTTTACGCTGAAGGTTCACATTTTAGCAAGTGTAATAAACCCACCTGAGCGACTATCCTCTTGTCCACCTTTTACTACATCGCCACAAAGATCTGAATCCCCATGTGAACCAAAAACCGATGGACTAGGAGTGATACGGTCCACCATAGGTGCTGGTTCTGGCTGTTGAGTGAGATCAGACGAGTGGTGGTCACTACAGTCTTCACGAGTGCAGTACTGTGGATGTGAAACACATAAGTAAAAAGCCTTCTGCTATTATACCACTTGCACATTGTAAACGGAGTTATGATAAGATTCCACTTAAAAAAACTTTACAATTATACAAAACAGTTTGTTGGAAGAACGAACTCTGAGACAATCGTTTTAAAAGTGGACGCCACAAAATCTGCTATACCGTCACTCTAAAATGTTTTAAAAAAATCTGCGAGAGAACCCTCCCGAATTCTGCATTCTACACACTACACACTGGTATGAGTGCTAGCATTAAGGTTCGGAGGACTAGTACCAGACTTATTTGAGAGGATAGCAGAACTGACTTGATATGTCAGTCGGCCAAACCAAATCATCGTGTTGTATAGTCCAAACGTGTATTTTACCACTTCTAACGATGCTTGGTGAAGTCGAATGAATGGCACATCCCCCTGGTATTGATCAAAGTGAAACACCTTATCGTTTTTAACCTCCATTTCATGTGTTTTATTCGACGATTCCGTTTGTCAGAAAAGAAATAGGCGTAATGATCATCTTCTGGTGCAAATTCGATCGAGAGAAACTCTTAACACCTTTCTCATTGAAACCTCCCTTCTGAATGTCGTCTGTTGGCACATACGGTCAACAAGTGCATCGTTTCAGTTGCGCAAAAAAGTGTAGAAGAATTTTTTGACGACAGAAGGTTTTAAAAAAGCTCAAGAAAGTAGCAGCAACTGCTTCAATACTAACTATTGTAGCGAGTTCCATAAGGAAATGTGCATAAATTCACTGCCATTCGAGATTCTCTTCTTCTTTTTCAAATTCTTACCTGAGGAGAGTGCGGAGACGAGGATGGAATAACAGCTTCGTTAACCAGTGAGTCTAGACCACCTGATACAGCATCATCCAACTTTTCCGCTGTGTTCGAAGAGCTATGGATATTTGACTCCGCACGAAGACGATCTTCTGTCGATGTGGATGCCTTCAAAATGTCATGTCCTCCTCATAAAGACTGTAGAGATACCACAAAAAAGGTTTAATTGGGGTTTCGCATTCGTTTTTCCCTCTTGATATCCCTATTACGAGTCATGGATATTGTTTGAAATAGGAGCTACATGCGCCCTTTCCATCAATAACTAGGGTCAGAAGCGTTCGAAAAACCAAAAAAAATACACGTACGAGAACTCGACGAAGAACATAAAGGATAAATGGAAAGTACGAGAAAGCAAAAAAAACATCGAAATGAGTGAAAAGAAAACATTCGAAAACCAAGTCATACAGTGGTGCCACGAGAAAAAAAGTGTGGTCACTGTCAAGGCCACAACAGAGCTTTCATTTGAATGTTCACAGTACGAAGCAAAAAATTAGGCGCCACTCAGCATTTGTCTACAGTGTATGAAACATTTTACAAAATCATAAAACTTATGCAGAAAACAGCCAAGAGTTCTACTCCTTCAGTATGCCAACTTCTAGTTAATTATCAACTATATATGTAGACACCTCTCCTAGCGCTTTACCGCCACATCGTGGATGGGAAGTGTACGTGGGTGTGGGCTACGACGTATAGCAGAGGATTCGTTCCACCCAGAGCTTCCGTAAGCTGAGAGAGAGTCCGGTGTTTTCATCCGAAAGCCCATTTATGAGTAAACCAATGCTAGGATCCATTACCGTCCCAGAATCAAACCAGTCCCATGGTGGCAAATCTCCTTCTAATCCACAAGGGCGACGACTGCCTGTGATGGTGACGACCTGGGGAAGACTTTGGCAAAGCTGAGCTTGAAACACCGGGGAAACACAATGGTTAAACCAGCAAAATTCCGAAAAGTGAAGATTATGCTGTAACCCGCGCAACCAGTGAGGGCGGACCGTCCAAGTGCCCAAGTTAGTATATGTAGACGAATTTTTGAATGTTTACACATTTTTGTACAAAAGTGTTTAGAAATCAGCTGAATTTCAACAGTGGACGAAAGAAAAAAATGTGTAAATGGCTGCCAAAAAAATAAAAGTCGGTATGGAAATATTATGTGAAAGTGTACGTACGCGTTACGAGATTTTGCTTTATGGGACAGATTGGTAAATTATAGTTGCAAGTCGAACCTCGTGAGCACTAGCATTAGAATCCGCCATCACGTTCGAACCACTAACGTGAACATCGTGACCTAATGGTGGGGAAATTGTGATACTTTGTGAAGACAACGAATACCTATCCATAAGAGTGGGAATAAAATTAGCGGTGGTCTCGTTACCTGAAAACTCCCATACAGCAAACAGCAAACATGAGCCCTCAGATACGTAAATGAATAGAAGTCATACCTGAGTCCAAAATCTGTTTTGCAACCGGCACACTACTGTCTTGTGTGGAAATTGCTTCTTTTTCATTGTTATACGTTGTGCCTACATATTGCTCAGCAGGGCTTGGGCTTGTTGCGATTACTGGCTGCGGCGTTGTTAGTTCTGCAGCAGCCTCCACCTGGTGTTCCTGCCTTGCAAGCTCCGAGGGTGATGAGGTGGTTGTTGGCACCGGTGAAGAAGTACTCTGAAAAATTTACGAAAATTTCACTTAGGCTCTTCTCAAAAAACGACCTCTCAAACTTAAAATGTTACCATCATTACAAGGCAAATTGCTTAGAAATAGGATTTTTTCACTTGCTGGTGGACAGCAAACGGTTTGAAAATGTTATGTGCTAAAACTTGATCAAAAGTAATACTTCTCCCGGCTTCTTCGACAGGAAATCAAAGCAAACAAACTTCACAGATTGTTACTTGAGGAAACATATAAGCCTATTATGTACGGTTTACTTGCTTTCGTTTATAAAAAAAATGTGATAGACCCGACTTCTACGTTTTTGGATCTCGATAACTAATAAAGTAGCTCAATTTAAAGTTTTAGTGAAGAATTTCACGCTGCGACCTATAAGCCTTCAGTGAACATGAAAATAAGCTTAAAAGTGAAAAAGACATTCTTAAAATAACAACAGGTCAAGCTATGAAAGTAAAATGTAAACATGAATGTATACGGAATGCTTAATCACGTTATGATTTCATCAGGCGCGCGTGTGGTGCAGTGGTTGGGAGCGCCACTGCAACACACCTGGAATTGATCCCGTCCCCATGGCTCACAAAGCCTTCCATCGCTCTGGGGTCGGCAAATTGGCACCAGACTTGTCTGAGAGAATAGCAGCACTGGCTCGATAATATGCATTGAATCACCTTCAATGATAAATAATGAAGTCGAATGTATGGCACATCCCTCAGGGATTGATCAACGCCGGGAGCTTTATCCTTTCATTCTTCATAGTTTCATCGATAACATTGGTGATCAGGTAAGAATGTTGCATGAAACCGATAATTGGTCGCAATTCATTAATAGTAGACATGTTTGATGTATTTTCGAAAAGATCATCTTGGGAAACGAAATGCACTAAGAAAATCAGAACAGCAGAAGAAAAATGATCGTCACTAAATATAATACTATGTCAGATCATTTCAAGTAAAAGTTCAATAAGAATCACAAAGCTGAGAACACGCGAAATGCAGGACCCGCATGATGTGGTGGTGAACATGTTAGCCCTTGGAAAAGGTAATAGCGCGTTCGCTCCCCACCGCAAGCACCTACGGTCAGGAGTTTTGCAAATATCTCAGCATCGCTGTGGTTAAGTTACACATAATAACCTACCGTGAAAATTGTAATAGGCAGTAAATAAAAAGTTAACAAGAATCACAATGTTTAAGCATTACCTTCATAGATTCTGCTTCGGATTTTACCGAATTCTGGTTGTCAGAAGACGACAATTTTTCCACAGATACTGGCTTGAGTTTTTCATCTGTTGTTTCACCTCAAGCATCATTCAATGTCATATAAGACCAGTAACAACAAAAAAATTAAAAGTTGTATTACCTACCAAGACTGTGAAAGTGATCAGTAGGAGTACCTTGATGTGTACTGGCATGGAAAGTTCCGAGGTAAGCGGCATCGCCAGAGTGAACACTCCCCAATTTCTCAGAACTAGCGTCATTTAAACTAACACCATGACTTCCTAGAATAATTTCTCAAGTAAATGGCTAAGCTGCTTCACTCGAATGACCACTCTAACATTCTCTACCATGAAGAATTCCATGACCGTGTCCATTTCCGCCCCCATGTTCATTACCATGGCTACCAAGATTTGGTACTGTCAAGTCTGGCAACGGAAGTAGCTCGGGTTGAGAAATGTTTTGCTCTTCAGCATAACGACTGGCTTGAACATTGTAGTCTCGCACGAGATGTAAATCTGCTCGAACAGTTCCTAACAGAGAACAGATTGAACTTAGCACATGCGCAAAAGATAGGCAAAAGCAGTTTGATTACCAAGGAATTTCTTTGGACCAATATCTGCTCTATCTTGGCTAATTTCCATCATCTCTTTCTTATATTCTATTGCATTTCGAAGAAATTTGATATAGGGTTCAATATCTATGGCACTAATATAGAAATTTCCTCGCCTTCCATCTTTAAGCTGAAACAAAGAAAGATGAATTTCCGAAAACCTGGGATGAAATAGCTAGATATTCCAAGATTTGGCTTCATATAAAGTAACTGTAGGAGATAATACCTTCACCAACAAACTAATGCTGGGAAACGCGGTTGGAAAGTTGTTCTTCAACAATGTAGCACGAAGTTCGAATAACGGGTTATATTACAGAGCTAGTATGTTACGTTCAACTTCTGCATAGGAAAAAAAACTACTTTTGAAAAAAGAACTGGACAACCACATCGAATTCTTACCACGCCCTCCATCAAGTCAGTTCGATCACTGAATTTTACCGCAGTAACATCAATGGACTCATCCTGAGTAAGCGATAGAAATGCTTCATGGTTAGAACCCATTTCTCGTTTCACTTTTGCTTTGAATAAAACCTCTAAAAGACATGAAGTAACAAGAATAAACCGTAAAGAAATAGCTCAAAAGACCGACTTTCTACGAACTTCGGCATAAATAATCGATATATTTATTTATATATGCTTATGAACTGATCTTGTCGGGCCTCCATTCATCACAGCACGGCTCTGAGGAGAGCGAAATCCCCGGAACGTCACCCATCGAGCAACAACAAAAACGACGACTTATAGCAACCTCGCACCAGCTCAACAAGAGCAGTTCATACTTACCTACTCGGATACTTGGATGGGACATCCTCACTGGTTGTGCAAACCCCACCGTAATCTCCACTTTTTCGGAGTCTTGATGATTTAGCCATTGTGGTTCCCTGGAGTCCTGAGGCCACCCAGGGCAAAATCTGCTTATGTCGTCACCACCACAGGCAGTCGCCGCGCTTGTGGATCAGGGGGAGATTTGCCACTATGCGACTAGTTTGATACCACGATGGTGACGGATCCTGGTAATGGTTTACTCCTAGCCAGGCTATCTGATGGAGGAAAAAGCGGACTCCTCAGCTTGGGAGACCCTGACAGGTGGATGAATCCCCCCCCCCCCGTACAACGCAGTCCGACATCCAGGATCCAGGAGCACTTTTCAGCCATGAAGAGGAAGTAAACCGTTGCGAGGAGAGCGGTTCACAAGCACATATAAATAAATATTAACAAAACTCTAACAAAACATACTACTCACCATCGCATTGTTCATTCCCACATAACTTAGACTTTCTCGAAACTAGTGGTGCTTTGGTAGCAAACGCGAAACACAAAATCTGTCAAGACCAAACGTTTCGACGTTGACATTATGGCAAAAGAGGATAATATTCTACCAACCTGAGTAATTAAAACAATCTTCATGGCGATCGAAAAATAAAATGGCTAAGAAGAGCTCTATAAAACGGCCATAACAATCTGAAATATCAGTTCGATAGATAAGAACGAACAACACGTAAGTACTCGAAAATGCACGTTCAACGTTATATCATTGCATCTCATACGAAGTCAACCCACAGGACAATGGGATTCACTACAGCAGTACCCTCACTTGTAGTACTAGTCACCTTCAGACCGACCCAGTAAAAAAGTAAAAAAGATCCAGTCTTGAACACTGGCGAATAAGCAGCTGTTAGATAACAAAGAAGCATCGATAGAACACAATAATCATTTCAGATACGGATCAGGGAATCCACCTCATTTTAAAACAATATCAAAACAGAAAGAAGGATAAAGGATAAAAAAGGATAAAGCTCTCGGCGTTGATCAATCCCTGAGGAATGTGCCATGTCTTCGAGCTCATCAAGCACCGTTAGAGCTGAATTCAATGAATACCTGGCCTATGCAATCACTTCTAGTGCTCTACCGATATATACAATAAGTGCTATTATCACCCCAGATGAATCCTGTACCGGTGGCAGGGAACCTTTAACCACTGGACTACACACTCACACCAAAAATAAGGAAACAATCAACTGTACAAATATAACTACAGATATATAATCAAAACGACGTTGAGATATTTGCAAAACTCCGGACCGCAGATGTCTGAGGTGGGGACCAAACACGATATTACCCTTTCCGGGGACTAGCGCATTCAGCACTACACTATGGGAGCCCCTCGTTCCACCTTTCTCTCAGACGAGTTACTGACCTAGACATCACTACTGATATTTGGAGCATACGAACTTCAGCATTAATGAGTCTGTAATTTGATGCAACAAACAATTGCTGTTTCGACGCATAAAACGAAGAAATTACGAAACTGAATTCAAATGATCCGAGTCACGTTAGCACCCTGAGAATTGCTATCGAATGATATTTCCACATTCAGACTAAAACGCACCGTAATTGTAAGACAACAACGGTGTCCTGCCGTCCCCATACTTGGCTAAAGCTATTGAATATGTTTTGTGTAAGTGCTTAACCTCTACATTTCAACAGTTTGTTCTATTCTCGAACATATGCGATGTGATCACAAAATTTTCATTCGGTCAACGCCTTCGCATCTTCGTCTCTTTGATGGCCGACACGGTTCGGGTCGCTTGTGGTCCCCAGAGCTCTTCGTCCTTACGAGGTGCATCTTCGTAGCCACATTGACTCGAATTTTCGATTGGTTTCTCGAGTCGGCTTTGCAAAATGTCATCCAAAAGCCAGATCTTTCGGATAAAACGCCCAACATTCCAACCAGAAGCCAAGCTAAGAGTAAACCGACGTCACAAGACTTAAGACAGTTCTAGTTCTTCTTCCATGTTCTACTCAAAGACAGAAAAAACCGGCATGTTAAACACTAAGTAAATACTAAACTACTATTCATCGCAAAAAGTGTGCTGTTTGCGGTCCAATGAGCAGGTCTGCTTAGAAATGGGAAGAAATTGAACTTACTTTTAGAGCTGGATTTTTTTCGTGAGTGAAGGAATCGCAGTTACTAAAGGCCACATTAATTACTAAAAAAGGGATCACTAACGAGCGGAAACTGCACTAATTTGTAAAAAAAAAAAGCCCAGTCAAATACAAATAAATCGGAGGTTAGAAGGAGTCCAGCAATTAGTCAGCTTCACAACACCGATGGAATCCATTCGCAGCTGCTCGATATGACAGAGAGTAGCCCTGCGATGACGGATGCTACTCCCAACGCCGTCGTTATATCGATTTCCCGCTGTGCTGGGACAAACAGCAATCGCTAGCAGTCCTTTACTGGGCAGTACGTAGTGACTGATCACAACGAAAAACAAACGAAACTGTTGTCAGTGCTGCAGTACGGAAATATGGGAGCAGCGAGCAACGTGGCGTTCAGTAGCTTTACTGTAGCCGAACGTCGCACCTTTAATACGTGACCGATTTGGAGCACCTTTCGAATATCTCGCCCAGACTAGAAAATAATTCCATGCATCACTTCTAATCTACTTACAATATTTTTTAAATTGTAAGGGTCGCAAGACAAGGTCGAAAACCTTGGAGATGACCAAAGTGAAGGCAATTTCGTGAAAGTGCTGTGTGTAGTGGAGTGCGTTGGAGTGTTTAGTGAAGTTGAGAATGAAATCGAAATCTTCTCATACTTTCTCAGAACTGTGTAAGCCCTATGTCAAAACTCCCGTATCCATCATACTAACTGTAACCTATTTGGTAGCGTGTACGATTTTAACAGATTTTGTATGCTTCTAACGATTTTAATAGGGACTCGTTGAGCATCATACCTTTCTCCTAGACTTCTCGTGAAAAAACTCTGAGCATCGGGTCGGTGGTCTTCTTGCAGTGCGCTTAACATCGCGAGGAATCCAGTCACTAACGGCTCTTGTCCATCGGTTGTCATTCATGCGTATTATGTTCCCGTCTCACTTTATCTTCGACTGTCTGGCGCACAGAACGGCATCTTTGATTTTTGATCGTTGGCGCAGATAGCAGCTTCGGATTCCATCCCTTACTTGTGTAGAACGGGATACTCCTAGCATCATCCTTTCGACTGCGCGTTCGATAACGCTGACTGACCTCTCATCCTGCTTACGCAGCGACAAGGTTCCTGACGCATACGTTAGGGCGAAGTACCGTTGAGTCGAAAAGGTGGGCATGGAGTCGGGTGTTCTTTGTGCCCTTCACTACATCCTTGATGCTCTTGAAAGCTCCTCAAGCCGCTCGTTTCCTTCTGCACAGCTCTGGAGCTAAGTCGTTCGTCATGTTGATTTCCAAACCTTCAATGACCGCTTCTATCTCAACTGAAACAAAAGTCTTCTTCAAATCGATGAAATTGAGACTCAGCGGTCTTTCGTATTCGCGCGATGCTTTAATGAGTCTTGTTATCGTGTGGATGTGGTCATCGTACCGAAACCTTTTCGAAAGCCTGCTTGCTCACATGGCTGCCCTTCGTCCAACGTTCAGTCAAGTCTGTTTTGGACGCCTCAAGTGAAAAGTTCGTAGACGGGAGACATCAAGCAGATTTGGCGGTAGTAGCTGATGTCATCGACAACGGCATTTTCCCAACAGCCGACTAATGAATTGAATAAGTCCCAATTCGTGGTGGTTCTGGGACTTCGGTTTTGGAATTTAGCAGCTTTTTCTTCTTTCCGCAAGAGATAGAATCTTGCAGTGGTCTGATTCTCTGTAGAATTTTGGGACAACAGTGACATCGGTTATGCAAAACCTTCTATTTACTATGATGTGGCCTCGTTGTGGTACCCTCCATTGAGAGACTCCCACGTCCAGCGCTGAGGGTGGGGTTTTTGGAATTGAGAGTTACCATGGATTGTCTTGGTCGCCATGATAAACTCAGAGCGCCGCTCACCCTGTTCGTTCCATTCCTCAGCAAAAGAAAAAACTAAAGCTGATGGCAGTTATCCACAGAACTAGCTGAGAGACAGACGAAACGAAGAACCCTCATGGTGTGGCGTTGAACACGTTATCCCCCGGAAGGGACAATAGCACGTTCATTCCCTACCGCAGACACCTGCGGTCCAGAGGTTTGCAAATATCTCAGTATCATTGAAGTTATGTTTTATTTTGATTCCTGCGCACTACAGCACCAACTTCGATAGGCATCACTTCGTGAATACTATTTGTTATTCCACTTCAAGAAGGTTGATGCTGTCTAGAATTACTTATATTCGTAAACATAGTGTAAGATGTCTATATTGAAAGAATATTGAATGAAATCACCTAAATGTTTTGCTGTAAGTTACTGTTCCGCTGGAAGCTGTCAGATGTAATGAGCACAAGAAACAGCCCAAAAGATCGAATTTATATAAACCTCGGCATAATCAATATGTCTTATATGTTAATACGAATTTCCTTTTTTTTACCCGACACGAGGTTGGTGGAGATGTTTTTACTGTTGTTATTGTCGTTCAATTGCTGACGTTTCGGCGATTTCGCCTTCCTTTAATCCTGAACGTATCGTATGTAACAGTAGCATCACAATTCGGTGAACTACATAGTATTAATGAAGATCCAGCATATAAAAAGACGCCAATTTTCGAAAACCAAAAACCCACCACCCTATGTACCACTCGTGTGTTGTTCGTGTTGTTCACGAGAGATGAGTGACATCCACCAATGGGGATGTGCATCAAAAATCAACCCAAGATAAAGTGACATATCACATGTGATAGTGATACATTCGTCTTTCCGGTTCATTTTTTGAATTTTGAAATTTGTGCAAAACGCCTTAAGGTCTTAAACGTTGATGTTTTAGATTTTTGCGCCAGGATCCGGACACTCACTACAAAATTCTTACCATTATGCTTTTGTGTCCTATGTTTACTCAAACGGGTAATCTGTCGAATTTTAGGTTTTCCATGTAGGTGTTCTTAAATGAAATCAAGTATATTGCACTTGAACTTATGCAAAATTCTACTGATTGACATTCGACAAACTACTATGTCCGGATCTGCAAGAATCTAAATCATCAACGCACAAGTTCTTTGAGGCGCCTTGGATAAATTTCAAAAGTCGGGTATGACCCGGATGGTGTAGTGGTGAAGTGCGCTGCTCCCCGGTAAGGACAACAGCGCGTGTTCGTTCCCCACTGCATACACCTGTGGTCCGGAGTTTTGCAAATATCTCAGCACTTCATACGAGTTATATTTCACAACATACCCTGCTATTAAGAAGAAAAAGGCAGTAAATGAAAGAGTTAAGACTATGTAGTTCGCCGAATTGTGGGGCTACTGTTACATACGATACGTCCAGGATTAAAGGAAGGCGAAGTCGCCGAAACGTCAGCAGTTGAACTACGACAACAGCAACAGTAAGAACATCTGCACCAACCTTATGTCAGATAAAAAAAGTGCGGAGTTTTCTTTTTTTTTTACTAAACTAGGTATATTCGCTGGATAGCCAATGTGGATCAAAATGGGAAGTATGGGGTGAGAAAAGCTATTCTG